CCCCCAGGATTCTCGCCACCCCATATCCCAGGCTGACTCTCCATGGCCCCTCTCTGCTACTACTTCCCCATTCCACCTTCACCTGCTGTCCCCACAGCTCCCTTTCTCAACACAGCCTGGCCTGGCTGCATTAGCCACTTTCCACCACAGCCTCCTAGGCCAAGAATAACAGATTTGATAGCCAGAGTCCTTCTCCCTCCATTCCACTGATACTCACTAGCTTGCTCCACCTCAGCTGGGCCCATCTTCAGGGAGGGATAGACAGTTACCACCACTGGGGGCAGCCCAGTGGGGGCAGTCCCCTGCTGCTCCAAGGGAACCCCAACACCCCCTCGGGTCAGTTCCTGGGGACAAGTCCTGAGACTCCTTTTACACACACATACACACACAAACACACCACACTCTGGGAATGCTTGGGAAAGGGGTATACAATGTTTTTGTGGAAGGAAGGTAGTCACTTCCTGAGCTCCAGCTCCATCAGCCCCAGGGTCTCAGATACATTCTCTGAAGGTAACTTCCAGTCTGAGGACTAGGTGAGATGGGTGAAAAAGGTGATAGGAGAAAAGAAGGGCGGGGAACTGGATGCCTGAAACTTCAAGGCCAACGACAGGCCCCAACACCATGGGGATCTGGCCCTGGGGGCTCACACAGGGAAGGTGGAGCCCTTGCCAGGCTGGGCGGGACCCAAGTTGGTGGGAGGAGCACAGAGGAGCAGAGGAGGTGCGGGACTGGGGGTCCCACTCACTGGCAGGTAGTACATCCTGTCCAGGAGCCCTGCCTCGGAGGCCCAGGGCAGCTGGGTGCCGCTGAAGGCTGGCGGGCCTGGGGATGGCGGCAGTGAGAAGCCAGAGATAGGCCCATAAGCGGACGGGTAAAGGCCGGGATTCAGGGCCAGCGGGGTGTACATGCGTCGGTGTGGCCCCGGAGGCGAGGGCGGCAGAAACACCTCCACGTACTGCCCGCTCTCAGGGTCAAAGAGCAGCCGTAGCCGAGGCTGCCGCGGCGCCTCCACAAAGTAGTAGCGGCCGCTCTCCGGGTCCACCAGGACCTTCCCTGTGTGCGCCGCCCCGGGTGGCCTGCGTGCCCCCTGGGAGGGGCCTTCAGGGGACCGGTCCATAGGAGGCGCAGATGCTGCGCGAGGCTGCGGCGGGGCCATTCTGCCCGCCAGTGCCTGGGGCTGTAGGAGGGGCGACTGGACGGCAGTCGCAGGCTCAGGGGCAGAAGGAGGAGTCTCCAGTTTGGGTGCTCTCCCAGGGCTCGAGCTAGGGTGCGCCTGAGGGGAGCTGGGGCGGGATGGTCCGGGTGGTTGGGCCCCTGCTGGCCCTATGGACGACCGCTGGGGTAAGGAGCGAGCTCCACCTAGAGGGCTGGTCGGACCCTCGCCGTCGGGGACAAGGCGCTGGGCTTCGGTAACCCGGTTCTCCCCTCCGGGACCGCTCACCGGGACTCCAGGGCTTCCCTTCAGCCCTCGGACCAAGGCCAGGGCACCAGGCAGGCGTATCTCAGTGCGCGCAAAGGGTTTCGCCGTGCTGTTCTCTGCCCTCCGCCGCAGGACCCCGTTGGGCTGCGAAGCGTCCTGGGGGGTTATGTTGGTGGATGGCTCTGGGGGCTCGTAGGGGTGCGACACTACTGGCAGAAAATCCTTGAGATAAACGGAAGTGTAGTGAGCTGGGGCTCGGGTCCCCAGCACCTGCAGCTCTTGCGTCTTGGGTGCACCACTCTCCTCCCGGTGGGGATCCGCAGGAGGCGCAGGCAGCCCTGAGCCTGGGGTTCCCTCCGGGAAGCTCGGCGCGTATGTGGTCTTCACCATCTTGCGCATGTCTCGGGGCCGAGGAATAGCCACTCGCGGGCGTGCGGAGGCCGGTTCTCCAGAGACCAAGGTTTCCGGGCACGCATCCGAATCCACGGTGCCCACGAGGCGACTGAGGGGCAGGTCGGGTGCAGCCACCTGTGGCGACGGCTGACTGCCTCCGAAGGCAAGATCCGGCATGTCCCGCGCGGAGGGACTCCGAGACCCTGTCAGCTCTGGAGTCCTGGGTGCGGGTGGTGTGGGCGGCGCCAGCTCCCCCTGGACTTCGCCATTCAGAGCTTTGCGTGTACAGACTATTGATGAGCCCTGCATTTGGGGATCCCACGACTCTTGGCGCGGTGGGCTCCACGTCCCAATAGGATGATCTGGAGCCTCCCATGAGGACAAGGCGGGCGGGGACGGGCTCCTACTCCCCTCTGCGGTAGCTCCGATTGCGGGGTTCGGAAGCTCCCACGGTGAAGGAGCTTCAGGGGATGGGCTTCTTGCCTTGGCAACATCCGGATTCCACTGGGAAAGGGTCGGAGGGGAAGGGCTCCTTCTGCTGACAGTTTCCTCGACGGTGGGATCCTGATTTTCCCATGCGGAGGATTCCTCGGGAAAGGACGGACTACTCAGCCTCCGAGGAGCCCGATTCCACGGACACAAGTTCTGGGGGGCCAGGCAGTGAGAACTCCTCACGGTTCCATTTGGAGCCTGCCACGGCGGGGATGGGCTCCTTGGCCTCACAGCCTTACTCGGAACTTCCCAGGGATCCCTGGACTCGAAAGGCGGACTCTGAGGCCTCAGAACGGTTCGATCCGGAGTTTCTCCCGCGAACCTAGTTTTGAGTTCCTGGCTGTGCGCCTCCTGGGTCTTCTCCCCGGACTGCAGGAAGATGCTTGAAC